AATAATCTAATATTGTAATGAAATCATAAAAATATATAAAGCAGCTTTAAACACAATTAATATTTTTGTAATTGTTCATATTAAAATTATCACTACACATAAAACAACAATTTAGAAAAGACATCGGTTAAAATCTTGAGAACATCATATTTCCTGCAAATTTAATTTATTATGAAAAACAAAAAATGCATTCCAGGGTGTAATGTAGTACCTTACTGTATGTCTCTGACTTCTTGTCAGTTTGGGAAACTTTACAACACTGGGTAATTCTCAAACAGAACAGTACTTTTGGGGCCTACATTGAGCAAATTAGTGAAGTGTTACTGTCACTGTAATCCAACTTGAATCAGGAGAGTGGAAAAATAAGGTAAACACTGATAGCATACCTTTAGATGAAAAATTAAGGTATCAGCATCAATATCAATACGTCGCCGACGAGTCTTTGTAGATATAACAGACATTCCAATATCCATTCTACCCAGAATCTTCCCTCGAACCAGATCTGCTACAGACTTGGCATATGTGAGGATACTCTTGTCCAGCACAAAGTACCTCTGAAGAAGAAAGCATTGATTAGAAATGTTGGTCATTTAACCTCGGCAGAGCTATCAACCTATATCTACTGTATCTAATAAACTTACTCCTCTTTCAATCTCTTGTTCAGCATTATGGAAGAGTAGTGCAAGTGGAAAAAGCAATACGAAATGACTAAGACAACAAGCAGAAATATCAACAAAGTGCTTCAAGTCTTCTAACAAATGCAGTTTACCGTACATGCAGTGAATGAACACCTTTACCTTGCTTAACAACACTTCCTATCAATTCACTGTGCACACAAAGCTAAATCATCAGGTTCATTCAAGTTACAAATAGCATGTATGAAATGACACCAATGTTCACAATAACAAATTCACAAGCTAAGTCTGTTCATAATTTTCAAGATCCTTTTCCTGCTCTCCTGCCTCTTATAGGTTGTCACAATTTTTTATAAACAATGCACTCCATGTGTCCAAACAGTCTTAGTGTGCTCTTATTAACTTTACTTAACAAAACACTTTTTCACCTCACAAATTTGTTTAAGTTCTGCATTCCTAACTAGTGTACAGTATATTAATTCTCTACCCTTCCTTAATGCTTCTTAGACCATCTCTACTGTCATTAGTCTTATTTTATTACCACTGTACTATAAAACACTCAGTTTTACATCAATTTGAAAAAGAGGAGCATGTACTCCTTCATGCCATCTCATTGCACACACCACATTCAGACTCTTCCTATTTATTAACACATAGGATATGACTGCGTAAACTATGAACAATGAACACTACTGTACAGTACATCCTTGTTCAATACAGTTGTAACTGAATACTGCTGTATCAAATGAGGAAGTATTCATTGTTATATTCTACACAGTACAGGTACAGTACAGTACATTATTATCTGTATCATATATACTGTACTGTAATATGCACTGTAGTGTTTAGTGTAAAATTTTCTTCAGTTATACAGGTATACAGTATTCCTACCTTATGCCATCCCTTAAGTGGCCATTTGCGACGTTTAAGTAGGAAACCTTCAAATTTACGAGGGACCAAATCAAATCTCTGACCTTCTTTGAGACCTTCAAGAATTTCCCATTCACCTTTCTTGCTTCCTGTAAAAAAGAATGAAATTAATATACAAATACTATAGCTGCCAGTAGTTATTTGAGCAGAAGGGTGGATTTTCTTATATTATTCTGAGATGTGTGAGCCAATGAAGAGGATCAAACCATAAATCCTCTACGTAACTACAAGTATCATGCAAGATCTCTATATAAGTATACAGTACTGTATTTCTTACAAATACTGTATTTTAAAACACTTACTGGTTTTATGGGAGCTATTTGGTGATCGACCTGCATCTTGTGACTCCGCTGATAAGCTGTTGGTGTCAATACTCTGGTCCTATGGGAGTTAATTGGCTATTGTGAATATTCATGACTCAGTGTTGGCTTTCAAGTTCATAACCTACCAATAATTTTTTTTATTAAGGTTTACTTTTCTAAATCATGAGCCCACACAGAAATATTACAGCATTACTACAGTAAGACATTATTGGTGTAATCATAGTTAATTTAAGTGCCAGCTTTCAGTAAAAAATGACCATGCCCACTGATCCCACAGTTCTAAAAGAAAATTGTTTAAGTTGTAATGATGGTTTTGAATCAATCTATCTAAAACTACTGTAGAAGATTAGCTGCACTCACATATTTTGGGTGAATACAAACACAAATATATACAAAAACACAGACATATGGACCCAAAGACCATCTACTTTACTACCTTATACAACTACCATATCATGGTCAACTATGTATACAGTGTCTTACCGACTCTGAGCCAGGGGGTGGTGGGGGCTTGCCTTTCTTTTTCTGTTTGGATGATTTGTTGTTATAACTAATGGAGTCCATCCTTACAAGCCGGTTGCTAGACATTTGTTTTTGCTACCAATAAAACATCTGAAATACAAAGTACTGAAATGAAACAACATATCATAGACATGGCATCTGACTTTAAATAAAATTTGTGTTCCTAGTTTAATGTGGTTCATTTATGCCTTACCTACCAAAGATGAGCAGAGAGGTACTACAAGTTAAAGAGTTTAAAACTAGCACTGACACTATACAGTAATGTATATTAAGCATATTTCTGTCACAGCATTGATGTTAGGATTGTAGAAGGTAACTATTGTATAATGTACAGTAAATCAACTGATGTGACAGTAGACAGAGATGACGATATACAGTACTGCATTCCCTGGTGTGGATTAGCTAAAAAAAAAAAGAAATTGCAAGAATTATTTTTATCTTGAGTTTCTAAAGTTGAAATTCTAAAAAAAAAAAAAAAATTATGGTACCGTAGCTGTATGAAATAATTCAAAACACAATATCCAGGAGGTTTCTGGGTTACGAACGGGTTCCGTTCCTGAGGACATTCTTAAGTCAGAACACACGCTATGTGCAGACCGTACTTACAGAAAATTTTTTAAAATCCCACTATATCATAGCCCAAGTCCTTATATAGTGTACATTTAAAATCACATGATTTAAGACAGAAAAAATAGAATGACAAAATACAGTAAATTAAAAAAATAAAAAAGATCATCAGGTAAATACTTGAAATACTGTAAATTTCAAGTTTAACCTTGTTCGTATCGGCGGGAGTTCGTAAGTCGGGGACCCCCTGTATCATTATTTATGAATTAATGGGTATTGGTCGTGTAACGATGGACACGATTAGTGGATAGGTTTGCTTTAGGTCATTTGGGTTACCACAGGGGGCATAGAAACACATCTCCACAACTGTACCAATGAAAGCAACTTTGTTAAAGTGTTATGGTGGCACTTTAAGTTTTTTGTGGACATGAGCTTATGCGTGTTGGTTTTAAACAAACTGAGCAGATGAGAATATCTGCCAACGCGGCAGATTCTTCACAGGAGTACAGTATTTACAGTAAATATTTAATTTCTTAACGTGCAAAGCATGTAGACATAATTTTTGTCATATCAGTTTTCATCGTGATTTACAACGCAATTTCCCACAGCCTTCATGCCCTGCCCACTACGTTGGTTTATACAAACTAAAGAGATGAGAACATTCGGCGGTGCGGTAGATTTTCTGAATATTATTTAGGGTAAAAAATTCATTTCTTCACGTTCTCGCCTTTTTTTAAAATACTGTACTTACTATAACGATAAGAACATTTGTGTTATGTTGGGTAAGCTACCTGAGAAATTCTGTAAGTTTGATCCATCAGTCCAGCTGGAGATCAGATGCTATTCGGTCTAGATGTAATCATTTTTACGAGGAAAAAATTGCCGCATGGCAACCAAATTTTCAAAAAGCACGAAGATGACTTGAGGCTAGGCTCGTATTTTTTCTGCATTTCATTTTTTTTTTTTTTATTCAGATTATTTGTGAAAGGATTTTTCCAGTATTATTTATCTGTGTGTGTTGGGCATGTGTGTGTTTTGTGTCTGTGTGGCTACACATACAGAGTATTTACTTTTTTTATTGTTGTTGCTCCAGAACTTATTTGTCCCAAGAGGAGAAAACAGTGCCGGGCTTTAAAGCAGCTAAGGACAGGCTTGCTCTGGAGGGGTAATGCTGAGGGGGATGCTAAGCTGAAGCTGCTCCTTGTGTATCATTCAAAGAATCCCAGGGCTTTGAAGAACATCCATCCAGCCTTCCAGTCTACTGGAAGTGCACACCAAAGGCCTGGGTGACTACCACAATCTTTTATGATTATATTTACAATTATCTGTCACCATTCATTGCATGGTACACAGTAGCTAACAACCAGTCAAACAAGTGCCTCCTGTTGTTAGACAATGCCCCTCGCCACCCACACACTATGGTTGACTGGTGTGACAACATCAAGGTAATGTTTCTGCCTCTGAATACCACCACACTGCTCCAGTTCCTTATTCAAGGTGTCCTAGCCACATTTAAGGCTTACTACACAAGCCATACAAAGGCACTACTGGTGGCAGAAACAGACAGTGGTGAATTGTCTGTATGAAATTTCTGGAAGGTATACATCAAGAAAGGCCTTAAGAACATTACACAGGCCTGGGAAGAAATGTCACCTGTTGCAATGGACTGAGTGTGGCGACAGCTTTGGCCTGAGGCTGTCCATAGCTGCTTCCATGAAGTCACAGAAGAAGAAGTCACTGCCTGAGCTCCTCGTCTTATGAGGAGAACCTCAGCAATGAGGACCTGCTGGAGGAGCAGGAAGCAGAGGAGTCACACGCACCTTCCCTACTTTAACTTAGGCCAACCTTGAAACAATTCGGGGTAACATGCGGACCACCAGCCAGAGTATTTTCGACCTGGACCCTGATGGTGAATGCAGCTTCACGGTGAGGAATGGCTTGCAGGAATTATTCAGCTGCTACACTGAGTTTCGCCAGCAGAAGGAGGAGTAAGTAAAGCAGGCCAAAGTCACCAATTTCTTCAAGCCTGTTAATAAGTCTCAGCCAAATGAGCCTCAGCCATCAACTTCATCAGTCGTCTGTGCCCTTTTCCACAAGAAAAAGCATCATCCAGCTCCTCAGCCAGTCTCCACCTGCATTAGGGTGGTCCAAAAATTAAAAGTTGGAATTTTAATTTAGTCACATGTCGCCCTAATACTTTTACCCAAAACATGTCTACAAGCAAAATTTCAGTTCCTTATCTCAATATTCAGGGGTCCCACATTTTGTGAGCAGTGAGGGTGAACTGCTCTCTGAAGAGGAAGATCTTAACGAGCATAAATGGCCTTTGCCATCCATCTGGCATGGTGGAAGGCCCCAGGTGCCCTGGTCTTCACAGCTGCCTCTGGAATTTCCCCCAAGATGCTGTATGACAGGACAATGAGCTCCTTGTAATCGTCCCTGAATTTTGATGACTAAAATAAATAAATGTTTTGCGGGACCCCTAAACATCATCCAATTTTCTTCAAATTTTATACACAGCTAGTGTACATGAAGTGCAATGAGGGCACCATGTGCTCGCTTGGTTCAGACAACTTTCAAATTTTCACCCTATAATTTGGACCACCCTAACCTGCATTCACTGGGTTTGAGGAATGAAGACTCAACGGTTCAATGATAACGGTCTCAATTTATGTTTACATTCTTTATTTAATGATTATTATGATTGATTCATATGTCTGGCATATTTTCTTGCTTGCCAGTGTGCACAACAGAGATATGTCAAGGGTAGATGGGAGTTTATGAGGGTGGCCAGTCCCTAACATCCCAAATTTGATATTTTCTTATGGGATGAATTGCTTCGATAACCATTGATTCACTAACCAATGACTTTTCACGGTTCCTTTATGCATCGGTTATCGGGGTATATGTACCTGTACTGTATACAGTCAAGCGCCGGTTAATGTCCTAGATACGTTCTTGGAAACGTGACGTTAACCGAAATGGATGTTGTCCCATCATCACATAAACGTTTTATTTATACTTGTGTGTATGTGGAATACTATATACGTACATATACACTTTTACTCTTAAATCACTACTGTAATGTGATACAGGTGATTAATATTTATATCTTGTGCAAAATACATGACGTTTATATTAAAATTATTCACTGTTTTACAAGGATTCCAGCAACGCCGGGCAGATGGGGAGAGAGAGGGTGGGAGCGAGCGAGGGGGCGTGGGGGGAGGGAAGGTAGTACGTTTGACAGTTGGCACAGGTCCAGGTCTAACGCGTGTATATTTATCAGTTCTTAGGTGACTAAGCTTCTCTCTTATAAAAAGCCAGTGAAATGACCTGGGTGAATATAATTAACAGAGCTGGGATTCTTGTAACATACTGATTAATTTGAATATAAACATGCTATAATTTACACTAGACAAAACAATTTTAGTACCGTAATCAAATTAGTACATGTGCACTCCAGCTTTGCACTAAGGTCATTTATTTCTATTACGTTTCTTTTAGTATGGTGTGTGCATGTAAATGGATGAAAATAAATGAAGAAATCTATGTAAATCTTCCCAAAAATACAGTTGAAAAACTTTTTTATAAAATGTACTACAGTACTGTACAGTAGTACCCCGATTTACGCTGTCAATTGAACCCACAGGGTACCGCGGAAAGTGAAAACCGCGTTAAGTGAACAACAGAACATATGGGATTAATTCCAATAGAGACTGGCCCGACCCCCAAACTCAACTTTTTCCGACACAATACCTATGTCGTAGTAAAAATAACATCTAAATTTTATGATGGTATGCTCACACAATTAATATTTAAGAGAAATACAGTCGCCAGGTTAATGTCCATTCAAATAATGGACTCAAATCCCCCCCCCCCCTTCCCAGCTCACTAGCTCCTACCTCTCTGAGAAATGTTTGGGTGAAACCACTAGATTTTAACGTTTAGTAATAAATAATACCTCAGACTAAAGTTAGGATAATATAATTGACATTTCTGGATTCCTTGTAGGTCAGGGAATATTTTGAATGTAAACTTCATATATTTTGCACAAAAGATAAAATATTTGGTTTGTGTAAACCAAATTATTACATTAGATCTAAAATTTGTATGTCTAATGCAAAATCCATGATGTTTATACAGTAAAAGTCCAAAAATCCGGATGCCAGAAATCCGGACCACCCGAGAATCCGGACTTTTCGAAAAAAAAATTTTTTTTTTTTGTATGTGCTCATGCGTGAGCACCACAGCTGCACAGCGACAACAAGCGACCTCGTGGTCGCCACTTTAAAACGAGCAATCAAACTGTGACAACATACCGTATATACTCGTCTATAACCCCCCCTCGTTTATAGGTCGACCCTGATTTTTTGACCAAGAAATCGTTAATTCATGATATTCCTCGTTTATAGTTCGACCCACGTTTTTGAGGGTAATGGAACAACAAAACCTTCACTAAAAACACTACGTCCTATAAACCGAGGCTCGCCGTGCCTGAAACACAAGTGCCGAAGGCAAAT